GGAAAATTGCTCAGTGAACAGCTAGGTTGCTTTTAATGCATGGCCCTTAAATGGAAAATGTTTATTCACTTTATGCAAAATTTATGGTGATTTACGCTAGTGAAAACAAAAGTAGATGTAAAGCAATAACCATTCATGCAGTTAATGACCTGAGTACTTCAAGTCGGGTGGAAAAACTTACGGTCGCACCGGCAAGCCTAGTGCGTTTCAGCCTGAGTCTTTGGTTCCACTTCGTTAAAAATGGATTAGCGGCAACTGTCACTCTGTTTTCCTGCATCCTGGTGCGGCTTAACACTTCCTAACTATATATTCTTTTCGAGATTCCGCGTCTCTTTGTGTATATTTGACTGGTTTTTGTATCTCTTTTTTTTTGGTGTCATGTTCTTATAATTTTGTCAGCACTGTTTGCGGACGTTTCTTCAGGAAAAAGTAGACTTGGGCTCACTAATACCACTAGCCGAATATCCAGGCCTTTTTTTTCTCCCCTTCCTCATCTATAAGATTCGCATTTTTCTTTTTTAAGATTCATTTCCAGTGTTAGGTGTTTTGGCTTGGACGGCCATTAAAAAAGACAAATTTATGGTAGTTAACACAAACAAAAACGTAAGTGTGTGCTGCCATTCGAAGTATTTTCACTTCTTTCGAGGGTTTAAAATTTCGAGTGTATTCTCAGTGGCAACATCCGTGGTGAGCGATAGGCCACTGCTTGCCACCGACTCGACAGACTCGTCCACAATACGACTCGTGTCTGTATCGTCCATCTGCAATACCTCACATCTCAGTCGTTCTTCATTTCTTAGCTGTAACGGGGAACTCCTACTGGCCGAGGACACTAGAGTGTGCAAAGCAAACAGCTCTGTGTTCGATCGTTCACATCCTTGTCAGTTTTGTGCTTTGAAATAGTCAGGCAACAACAAAACCTTGGGCATACTGTAAAATCTAAGTATCGAAAAACCGCTCCAGATGCGAAGAAAACAAGTTTTTCCTAGATCTTTTTGTCTTGAAATAATCTCCTTACTAAACTTTCATGCTTTTGCACCCGCTTCCGGTGGTGAATTAGAGTGTAAGGTCTTGCTATGCTTTTTTGCAAGTTGCCGAACCTTGTCGATTTCAACTTTAACATCTTTCTCGTTTTCTCGTACATTCGGTGCATCTGCCTTCATGGCTCCTTTCTCATTCCATTCGAATGGATCTGTTCTGCAGTTCATAGTTCTGATTATTATTGCTCAGATATCTCTGCATTGATATCTGTGATTCATATCCAGTGGAGGAAGCATAGGATGATGATTTGAGTTCGAAAAATAAACTAAATCATTGAACTTTTTGAAAAAACCTAACAGGGATAGTTCAAACAAAGAAAGTATCGCACTTATTCTCCTTTTGGCAAATTCGAGAAAGAGCAGGCACAAGTTCTGATCATGTCATTTTCAACTTAATTAATCAAAAAGTAACAAACAGTATACATCTATATTTTATGAAAACTTACGGTTTTATTTTTAATTTGCTGAGTTCCTTGGTGAATTTCGTTCTAAATGTGTCGTAGTTTGGAGTGTCCGAATAGGTAAGGCTCTTCAGATGGTTGTTTATTTGGCTGAAGCAATCTGGACATCCCTAAAAAGTACCAAATCGATAGATTTCCTGTTACAAAACATAAGTGTGTCTCAGGAGGCACACAGGAAAAAGACAGTTGTTTGAAAAACTGGGAGTACCTCATAGTCGAAAATAATTGCAGCACTCTGCAGTCGAAGTAAGCATGTGTTCATCAGCCCATTTTTTTTCGGTGCCATCTTATACTTCAAGTTTTGAAACGCTTTAAAAAACATACTGCTAGTAGCACTCGATCACTGACAACTTCTTTCAAATGGCCGCTATCTCTCCTTGTCATGCCTTTCCATGGTAATGTTGAGGACAACAATTCAATTAGCATGTAAAACATACCTAAAAAGAATTTGCTGTAGCTTCTGAGAATTCTGAGAAAATGCAAACATCGAGGATGTAAGCCCTATATGAAAAAGCTGCTTATCTCCGTCCTTTTTCATTGTAGATTTCATCCTCGGACATTTTTTTTTTTCAAGTGATTTATCCGTCAGGGTCATCCAGCTGGGATTATTCTGGCCTTAAATTGCACCCTATCGTGAACAAGCATGGTGAATGTCTTACTCCACAGATCATCGTGTCGTCCTTGTTCTTTGTGTAAATGTACGTTCAGCGAGCAGTAACGGACCGTCCCACGAAATGACACCTGAATTACACGGTTTTAAGATCTTAACAGAATTGGAGCCAAAACTACCGATAATCGACGTGACCCTGAAAACCCGAGAAAGATGATGATCGGCTGATCGAGAAGCCGACACGGACAAAAAGATGAAAACTGCCTGTGGAAGACAGAGACAAAAAGAAAGATGTATTCTGCCTTAAAAACCAGATGAATAGCAAATGTATTGAGGCACGAAGACCGTTGGCGTAGTGGATAGCATGACGCGTCCAGATGTAAAGGGGAATAATTCGACTTTTTTTCGAACCATAACAGTTTTTGAAAAGAAGCTCCGCTCATGACACTGCTAGTCAGTCCATAAAAATTACGTACCTCCGTCGTTCGCTCAGAGGTGCGTAATTCTTACGGACTAACTCGCCGAATTACGTGCCTTCGTCGTTCGTTCATGTGTTTAGATTGTAGTTTGCTTGGTAAGTTTTTATGTGAAGTGACACCTTTCATATTCACAATGTCAAACAATGATTATTGTGACTAGTATGCTTGTGCTCTAAAACCGCGGCGTGGATGAAAAAAGCCGTGTGGTGCTCATCATAAACTTGCATAATATACACTGTAAATATTGTGACAGTGCTGTCGTTGCGGAAGTGGTTGATTTGCTCAAGTGGAAGCACAACGGCGATAAATGAAGCAGATG